AATGCCATTTTCAAGTGGAGACATTATTTCAGCCATATGTTCTAGTAAACTGACCATTCTTTTTCGATCTATTTTGGTATGTGCTGGCCAACATGTATACAGCAGCATATTTTCATATGAAAAACGGTTCCTTAACGGTATTTCATTAACAACGAAGTATAATGGCCAAACTGATAAGTTATTGTTTTGAGCATATACCTTAATTCCGTCACAATGAAACTGAAATGTTATTATAATAATGTTGCTGGCTGACGAACGGTTTGCTTTTTTCTGTAAAGAAATTTTTCGCATTTTGTTTGATGTGAAAAAACAACGCGAAATTAGAGAGAGTTTTGTATACAGAAAAAAGCAAACCGTTCGTCAGCCAGCAAAAGATGGTCACACGAAAGTCTCTCGAAACAAGCACAAGAATCATCGAGTAAAGAGGATGAAATCGGTGATAATAATTTTACAGATGAATCTATTTTCTTTTTGTGAAACATAGACTAACATAAGCTTTATCATTGTACTATTGTACCTATCATTACGTCGGTTTGATCGCTCATGGAGAGCTATTGATGGATTCCTGAGCAAACTGGAAGCATGAGAGCGGAAGCATGTCACAAATGGTCAAAGGTGTTAGCGGAACAGGATTTTGATGATTTTATAACAGTTGAAAGAGGAGGAAAAAGAGAGGATGCATTTTGGAACGTATACCCAGATTTGGAAATGGAAGCCAGATTATTTGTTTATGATCAATGTGCCAAAAAAGAAGCTTCGTTCACTGCAGACACACTTGCAAGATTCATTGATGCTCGTTTTTACGAAATTACAAACACCAAGAAAGTTGCTACAGGATTAATTAGATCAGTTGGAAGTTGGAGATTAGATATTCGTCACTTTGGTGTAAAGTACACAGGAAACCAAGGTCGACCATATTTCTTAGGTCATGAACGTGAAGATGTAGTGAAACACAGAGAAGAATTTGTTAAATATTTCATTGAACATTGAGATAATTTCTATACCATAACGGATGACGCAATACCACAATGGAAAATTCTGTAAAGGAATTTTTGGCATTTTGTTTTATGTGAAAAAACGACGTGAAATTAGAAAGAGTCTTGTAAAATGTAGAATAATATATAATAGTACAAAAAAGCAGCCATTATTTATTGCTGGAAATATCGTCCAGTGATGTGTGCGCATGATGACGTTATATAGCGGTGGGACTTTGTACTATGAAAAACAGATCTCCTATAGCTCTCGAAACTACTTCTGTCGAATTTAGCATCGGTTCTAGCCTATTCTCGCCTATTTCTATGAAATCTGAACGAAAAACGCGTATTTTATGCAAAAATTACTTGGCCGATTTTGACATGTTGTTATTGCAGGCTGGTTTTCTCAGCCTGGAAACCGATTATAAAAAGAAGCGATGCGAATTTTCATAGCTCGTCGAACGGCGGTTCCGACGGCGTATAAAAACCCTTTTGGAGAATCGTCAAACGACGGAAATTTCTTTCCGTTTCCTAAGCATAAAACTATAACTAAAAGCTTCAGCTGCATAGATAAAACAGTTTGAGTCATCCAGCTTTTGGCCTATTTTTTCTAGGTCGGATTCGAACACATGAAATTAGCTTTGAAATAGACTGCAATAATAAATCCACTGTTCTATGTTTATCTCCTGTATATTCAGACTTTTTCTCTATTTTCTTTCAAGGTCTACCACAATGTGATTAAAGTTGAAAACAGTGTTGTTCAATACATCTATCAACTGATTGAACCGTAGAACATACGAGTTAAGTCACATGCGAGTATAAGTCACACTTTCTATTTACGCCAAATATCTTTTCGTTGGAACTTCTTATCCGAGCATAGTTAAATAGAGCAGTTTTAAAGAACATTAAATTTTCGATGAAATTCTGAAGAAACATTGACATAGAAAAGGAGATTCCACAACCGTTTGAAAACTTGCGAAAAGACTAAAGCTAAAATCTATCACTGATTACAGTAAAGTTCAGTGTATTTTGGCATAAGCCTTGACTGTAGACTACCTGAAAATAAAATTTCTCTGAAGATCTTGAAAAAGCGAGGTAAACAATATAGCCAAGGTCTTCATTAACTGTCGCTTCAGGACTGTACAGCAGATAAAAGAAAACAGTTGCTTGCACTAACAGCAAGTTTAAAGAACACAGAACCACATTCCTTTTCAAAAACTAAATGGCGATCGACGTTTCAAACTGGGTTATAAAATGAACATGAACAAGCACAAAATGGAAATAAAAGCGAACAAGATGGTTGGATCACATGGAAGCTGCCGTTAGCGGTCATAATTTACGTAGATAGGAGTGCAGTGCTGTGTGGAGACGCTTAAGATACATTGAGATACTACTATAAATGCTATGCGGTGGTGCAATAGAAAAGAAGAGGCAACAATGACTTTTTCCTTTCCTTTTCTCTTGACTTTACTATAAGACTTTGCTTTAATATTATAAGGCACGAATCATAGCTTAATATGAACTAATAAAAATCGAAGTTTTTATCCTTATTGAATTGAATTTCCATCCTCGCGAATCTGTTTGTTTTTCCTTAATCCGCGCCAGCAACATAGTGAGGTGGGTTCTCTCGTTGTTTTAGGGATTGAGAAAAGTTACGATGTTTTCGGAAGTTACGATTTCTAACACTGAATGAAGAAGTCGAAGTAATATTGCAGCACATGATTGATCACATGGTAATTCCTGGTTCCTCAATGGGAATTAATCACTTCCATAATGGAATTTATGACACTTTATATAGCTAAAGAACGCTGTTGATTTATGTTTAATACAACGTAAATAAAATCCTTCGATGATTTTCTCGCAGTATTATTCGATTTTTGACTGTTTTAAATAAAAGTTCTAAAATAATGATTGTTGAACTCATACAATTAATGTTTTCATTAATAAACTATCTTATTCAGTTTTTCATGTCCTTTCGAATAGTGAGTTTGGAAATTTTTTCTATTCTTTCATTGCGGAGATACGGAGCTTTTCTACATATATCGTATCCTCCGAGTCAGGTTTTATTATGAACAGAAAAGGAGGAAACATTTATGAAACTAAAAAACAGAGTTTTCTCAGTCTTTGAAGGAAAAGTTTAAAAAGTTCATAACTTTTTGAAGAAAAGTTGTGGAATGCTGAGAGTGGTCTCATTTTGAATAAAAACTTCGTAACGCATCGGCAAATCATCTTTCTACAAATTAGTGTACACATAACACTGCAACGTCTCGGATGATCGCTGAAAAGCATGAGTTGAGTTAAGTGGTTTGTACTCATTTTAAGTACACGTACTTCAGATGCTCTTTGAGAGTGATTGATCCTCATCCTATCTTCATTCTCAAACATCTAATTAATAGATTTCTCTGATTTCTACCACAAATAGAGAATAAAACACAAGTGAATAGAAGGTGAATGAATGGTTTCTTGTTACTAACAGAAGAACGTATCTATTTTCATTTTGACAAATAATCAACAACTGGCTCAATTTCGTAGAGAGCGACTGAGTGCTGCTAAAAAACTTGTAGACGTAATAAGAATATAAAGGTTTTTTCTGTCAGAGCGATAAAAAGATATATACCGACAACAAAAGTGCAGAATATGTAGAAAACGACATGTCTGTTTGCACAAGAAGAAAACGGACAACAAAAGCAAAAGTTAATATTTAGAATAGCTGATAGTATTTTTTTCTAGGAAAAATACTGAACAAACACTTCTCTCAAGCTATGTCACTGGAAATAGGGCAAACATAAGGGTAAACCGGATGTCGGGCAATAGGATATTCGGCAATGGATCTTCGACAATGCCGAAATTGGGCCGCTGGAATTTGGGCAGTATTGCCGAAATTCCACGTTTTGTTCGCAGTTGCCCAATTGCAGTGGAAGTTAGGCAATATAATTTTAGCTTGTCTTATAATTAAAATGCGCACAGTAATTATGTTTTAAATTGTGCAGCGGTCGTAAAATGTGGACAAGGGCTTGCCCGCATATTATGTCGTCAAATTTAAAGCGCGTCAAGTTTTTTTTGTGCTTTAGTTCGTCGTCAACAGAAAACAATACAGATTAAAACTTTGGCTACATTGTTTGAATGTCATTCAATAGCATTATCACAATACTGTTTAAGCATTTCATTTGTTGGTGGTGAGTTTTCGAAAAACAAGAAGAAAAATTAAGATACTGTTCGTTCTGCTATTCATCATTAGAGATGATGATAATATTGATGACTGAATAGTTGGTTAGATGATTTATTTAGGTGCTGCAAAAGCTAATTTATAAAAGATGAGAAAACTTTGACTTGAAAATGCATAATTTTTGCTGTGCTGACCATATATTGTTATATTCTTTTTGATTGTTGGCCCTACTATGTCTTCCAGTTTCTCTTTTTTGTATATATATTTTATATTTTTTGTATTCCAGTTTCAGAAATCGATAAAACTGATTTTGTTAAAATATTTAGAATTTATTCTGCATTCGACACACAGATAGATTCACGTAATATTTGAATATTTTAGCTCTTCGACAACTACATTTTATATGTACTGGAAAAATTGGTCTATTTTTCTCGCGTAAATGGTGGCTTTTGGATTTAAATATCACTGGCGGTTTTTTGACAACAGATTTACCCATACGTTTCAGTTA